TGGACTAATTGGAGTCTTCGAACACTCTTCAAGGGCAGCCCCATGTAGAGCGCATTACAATAATCCAGTCTATTTTAAAAAAATAGATAAGTGAGAGTAGAATAAAATCTGGAAGGGACCTTGGGGGTCTTCTAGTCCAGCCCCCTGCTCTGGCAGGAGAACTCTATACCAGTGGTGGCAAACCTTTTTTGGCTCACGTGCCAAAAGCGGGGGGACCGCAGGGGGGTTCTGCGTAGGTGTGCCACACCCATAATGCAATGCCGACCCCCAGCACGCATGCACACATGACCAGCCCTGGACCCCATTTTTTGCATGCTTTTCTCGCCCTCCCCAGGCTCCAGAGGCTTTATAGGAGCCTGGGGAGGGCGAAAACAGCCTCTACGAAAATGAAACAGGCCCTATGAGCAAACCGGAAGTTCAGGAATGGACTTCCGGTTTGTCCATAGGGCCGTTTTTAGTCCTCCAGAGCCTTCAGGGCCCTTCAGAAGGCTTCCCTAAAGGCTCTGGAGGACGAAAAAACGGCCCTACGGACAAAACGGAATTGACTTCCGGTTTGCTCGCAGGGTTGTTTTTTGCCTTCCAGAGCCTTCAGGGAAGCCTCCGGAAGGCCCCTGAAGGGCTAAAACTGGTCCGTTCCTGAACTTCCGGTTTGCCCGTAGGGCCGTTTTTTCCTACTCCGGAGGCTTCGGGGAAACTCCTGAAGCCCCCGGAGGACCTCGGGGGGGGGGCTGTTTTCACCCTCCCAAGGGTCCTATAAAGCCTCTGGATCCTGAGGGCGGCGAAAAATGGCCTAAAAAAAAGGCGGAAGTCAGCTGACCAGCGTGCGCATGCACACGCCTCGAGTGTCCTGACAAATGGCCTTGCGTGCCACCTGTGGCACGCGTGCTATAGGTTCGCCATCCCGGCCCTATACCATTTCCGACAAGCGGCTGTCCGGTCTCTTCTTAAAAACCTCCAGTGATGAAGCACCCTGAGGGCAAGTTGGTTAATTGTCCTCATTGTTAGAAGTTTCTCCTTAATTGGGCAAGAGCCTGAAATATTAGATCAGCTTCAGCATTAACCCAGGGTTCAGCAATTTTCTTCCACAGGGAGGCCAGTGGCCTGTATTGTGAATGGATGGTGAGCCCCTTCCCCACTTTCTCTCTCTTTCTGTCTGTCTGTCTCACAAATACACTTGGAAAGACTATTCAGAGCAAGCCATAGAGAAGGATTTCTTTCTTAGGGAAACAAAGGTGTTCTCTGCAGAGTCCTGGAATGCCTCTTTGTGATTGGAGAAATAAATGCTTATGGAGAGGGGGAGAAGAGACTTTAATAACTGAAGGCACACAATAAACACACGTCTATATTTATATATTGGCTTATAACTCAGTCTAAATCAGTGTTTCTCAACCTTGGCAACTTGAAGATGTCCGGACTTCAACTCCCAGAATTCNTTAGGGGTTAATTTTAGGTTTAGGGTTTACAGTGTGCTTCTGTCTCCACGCTGTTGTCGCCCTGTTGATGACGTCAGCGACGCGGTTTAGTCGGGTGTGGTTTAGTCGAGCGCGGTTTTGTGGAGGAACCGGTCCTGGTTGTTGTTTTTTCAGGAGCAACTGGACTTTCTTGTTTTCTCTTTTGAAGATGTTTCACTTCTCATCCAAGAAGCTTCTTCAGCTCTGACAGGATAGTGGGGAATGGAAGGATTTATATTTCAGGAGGCAACTGGGCTTTCAGGTTTTTTTCCCTTGAAGACGTTTTGCTTCTCATCCAAGAAGCTTCTTTGGAACAATCATGACCTGGGTGAGCGAGATCCTACCTTAGAAACAAAGTCAGCTGGCTGACCTTGGGCTACTCACTGTTTCTCTCAGCCCTAGGAAGGCGATAATGGCAAAACGCTTCCAAAATTATAAATAGTTTTCTTGTTCATGTTGTTGGAATGCTGTTGCCTGGAAGTTTTTACAGTGACTTCTTCTCTCGTCAGTCTCCTCAAATTTCCTGATCTCGGTGACAAGTAATTCTAATCACTGTATTTAGAATTTGTCAGGCTGGTTATTACAGGAAACTCTTGAAGTTTATAACGTGCATTGCTTTACCAAAGTGTTTTTCAAGCATGGCATTTTAAAGATGCATGGACTTCAAAAAGAATTCTTCCAGCCAGCATGCTGCCTCTTCAAAATTGCCAAGGTTGGGAAACATTGTTTTACCAAATAGTAACCTTGGTTTACTTATATGGTAATGCTTAATGCTTGAATTTTAGAGCCTGTTTTTTCTTGAGGACTAGCAGGATATTTATTTATGTAATTTACAAGATGTTCAATTTGGAAATGCTTGTATCAGCTACCTGTATCATATTATGGCTGTTGAGTTAACTACTTGCAGCATAGTTAAAAACAATCTTACAGGTAAAATCCATTCAGCTGGAATTAACCCATATTTGATGAGGGTGTTAAACAGAGGTTAGATTGTCATCTATTGGGTATATAATAGTACTAGCTGGATACCCATGCTTTGCAACAAAACTATGTGATCGGGCTATGCAGGAGAAATTCAGTTCACAATCCATTGACTCAGTGATGGGTGGTGATTGAAACACATAAGGGAATATTGCTCCTGTCACCTTGAGTCCGGAAGCAGTTCCATAGGTGGAAGGCATAGACATTTTGCTCAGGTACTGATGTTTAGTACTGTAAAGAACCCCAGAACACTCCTGAGTGAAGGACTGGAATGACTGCCAGTTTGAACTGAGGTAACGGAATGTGAGGCAGTTGGAACAGAGTTCTTTTCAGGTGAGGAGGGGGAGTAGAATGTCTAACTCCTAAGCATCGGAGTGTGTTAATATAAGGCAACTGGCAGTTGGAACACAGTTGTTT